AGACGAAGAAATATGACAAATTACTCAACTTGCGACAAAAGAAGTGGACTAATTGTGCTTATACTAATATTTTATGAAGAGTGCAATGACATAAAAATTGTTTGTACCTAAGAAAAAACAATCAAAATAATATATTAACTGTGGTAAGCAAGAGAACAATCTGTTTGGTTTTTTCACAAACTTTATCATCAGTACTGTATTAGTTATCACATATTTGTTGTTGTGTGCTATCAAATATAGCACAACCCACAAGAAATTTTCCCAAAAAGTATATGAAAAAACCTACAGAAAGGAACAAAAGAGAAATAAATTTTCAATCATCCTCACTAAAAATTTTAATAGAGTTCAGAAAAAGTCACCAAAATAGCAAATAGAAATTGCAATAGATACATGAATCATTATGACTTACAGTAAAATATTAAGTTTCATGAAATATGAGGAAGAAAACTTTGAGGAATGAAACACACTTCATAAGAAGTTTAATTAATGTATTTGAATTCGACTCCCCTATAGCAAAAAAAAACCTATAAATAATAGTGACAGAAATAAAATAATAGTGACAAAAATAAAAGTTTTGTTTACTAAAGAATCAAATGTAATGAATTCAACCATTTCAACAGTGTTATGAGTTGTGGAATGAGAGGTGCAATAGTAGTAATGTCGCATTGCAATCAAAATCAATATTCTTTTTTATACGAAGAAACCTGTAGAAAGGGACAAAAGGGAAGATCAATTTTCAATCATTTTTGCTGAAATTTTTAACAGAGTTAAAAAAAAGTCACCAAAATAACAAAAAGAAATTATCATAATTACATGAATCACTAAGCTCCATGAAATACGAGGAAGAAAACTTTGAGGAATGAAACAAATTTCATAAGAAGCTTAATTAATGTATTTGAATTCGACTATCCTACAACGGAAAAACAGCTACAAATAATTGTGGCAGGAAATCCCTCTATTTATAGATAACAATGGATAGTGTGAACAAATGCTTATTGTGCCTTATCGGAAAGGTCACAAGTCTTTGGAAACGTTACACCCCTTCGGGAAGGTCACAACGTTTCATAAAGTCGCAATTTTTCAAAAAAGTCGCAACTCTTCATAAAAGTCACAACTTTTAATAAAAGTTACAACCTTTGATATAAAAGCCGCAACTCTTCCTAAAAGTCACAAATTTTCATAAAAGTCACAATTTTTCATGAAAAGGAAAGGTCAGTATTGAAAATAAATAAATTAAAAGGGAATTCTGATTTGTGGTTGCGCCACGTAGGCGGGCCTAGGGTTCTCTTTTATATATTTATAAGATTTAATTACTACAAAAAAAAATATGAGTATTTTCATTTTGCTGTGAAAGAATTAGTTTTACCTCTGTTTTTGTGATTTCTTAACTATTAAGGGCCTGCTTGGAAAAAAATTATAATTAAATTTGGAAATAAATACACTCGTAAATTTTTTTATAATCTTAATTAATAAAGTAAATTCAAGCACAACTTAAATGGAGATTTAGCTTTATAGCTTTTTATAAAATTTTTTTTAGTTTTATATTTTTTTTAAGAGATGGGCGTGAAGATGATGCCCCAATTTTATGCTTATGAAATAAAGTTTCAAGTATCTTAGGTCCATAATCAGTGAGGGCATCTCCAATCCTATACTCTATTTTATTCTCCAAATATAGAGTTTTTTATTATTATTTTTAGACAATCAACTCTAATTCAATTCTCTATTTTTTTATTCTCTAAAAAAGAATCTTTTTTCTCCTCAATATTATATTATTATTTCTATTTCATTCTTATTTACTTATTTTTAAATTAAATTTTCATCTTATCGTTTTAATTTTGTATATTTTTTATAGTGAAATTAATAATAAAATCAAATTATATTATTGACGAAAATTAGAAAAAATTAAAATACTATTAATTCGGGATGAAAGTAGTATATATTAAATAATATATTTTTAAAAGTATTATATTACACTTAAAAAGTATTATGAATATTAGATATATAATTAATGACATTATATGTAAAATAATATGTTAATTAGAAAGTAATAGAAATAATAATAAAATGTTCAAAAAGTAAAATAGAGAGTGTGAATAGTAGTTCTCCAAATTTGGAGAACTACTATTCACCTCTCTAAATATGAAGAATAGAGAGTGATATGGAGGTGGGTTGGAGTGTCCATTTTCTATTTAACTCTCCAAATGCGTTGAGCCTTTCCTAATACTTTAGTAAATAAGTCTGTTTCTTGATCAATTGAACTATATATTTTGTCTTGATTGTAAAACCATGTATTTTTCTTTAATAAAGCGAAAATCTAATTCAATTTGTTTTGTTTTTCATGAAATATGAAATTTGCATCAATTTGTATTGTTGTTTTACTTCATTGCACACCTTCACTTAGACCTTGATGTTAACGGTTAGCTCCTTACATTTACATATTAGCCACAACATTTCTAAATATGATCTTGTACTCTAAATCTGTAGAGCTTCTTGAGACAATGCTTTATTTTCTTGCTTTTCAAAAGATTAAAAAGTTGTCTAGTTTCATCACATAATCGTTATTTGATTTTTTAAAATTTGGATAAGTTGGCCAGTCTACATTAAAAAATGTAGTTAATGGTGATGCTTTTTCTAAGCTAAAAAAATAATAATACTAGTTCATTCTTACACATCACATCATTCTATAAGTTGCATCCATGTGAAACTTACACTTCATAAACTAGCTCAACACATGTAAAATAAATGTTATATATGATCCATTCATGTTAAGATATAAGAGTTTCTTAATTAAATTTTGATTAAATTTTGAATCATCTAATTTTTCACCAGTCAACTCTTGCATGTATTCATTGTGCTCCGTTGTGGTTAGCTTCTCATTGCATTTTATGAAAATACTCATTGATCTCAATCCTACTACCTCGAATTTGTGAACAGTTTTAATGTAATTTTTTTGGTTCATCAATATTTTCTTTTGTGATCTAGTTATATTAATGTAAAAAAGAAGCATTTCATATCATTCAAATCTTTAATTTTAAACTTTTCTTGCAAAGTTGTATTTGCTTCATATGATCATTTCCAATAATGAGTAAATCATCAACATATATATCAAGATGATTACTATCTTGTCTTCCACTTTTCGTATAAACAAAAAGTAGTCGAAATGATCTTGCATGAAATTTGAATTGGTCAGTACCCTAACAAGCTTCAAGTTCTATTATCTTGAGGCTTGTTTGAGTCCCATAAAAGAATTTGTTCAGTCAGCAATTTTTTTGAACATATCTCCCCTAACTGACAAAGTCGTGAGATGCACGCTATCATGTATACTTCTTCAATCACATTAGCTTCGAAAAATGCATTGAACATATCCATATGATGTAAACATCATTGATTCGAAGTAACTAGGGTACCAATCTGCAGTAACAATCTTCAATATAACGAAAAAAAAAATATAATCTCTTTTCTTTGATCAATTAGAAAGAAAATAATTGCTCTCTGAAATGAACATCTTTGCTCACAAGAGAATTGTACGAATAAATTGTATAACTTGTACCCTTAAATGTTATGTATGGATAAATATTCCATTAGTACAACTACAATTGATCTATAAGAGAAATTGTCTCCTTCGTGGAGACTAGCGGCAAAACAGAAGCACCTAATAATTCTCATGTGTTATAAAGATGAAACTCTGCCACAAATATTCTTAAAGGGTGTATTAAATCATTGACATTACACATCGTATTTATTTGTTAGGGGTCTAAGATTTCAAATTAAAATTCACATTCGTTCAATGAGTCTAAAGCGACATTTGTTTACATTTAATATATCTGAATGATTTAAACATTAGGTCATTAAATGCATTTGTGTACATTAAGATTTAAGTACTAATCTGGGTTGAATAGGACTAGCCATTAAGATATTGAACATAGTATCATTGAAATTACACATCGTATTTATTTGTTAGGGGTCTAAGATTTCAAATTAAAATTCACATCCGTTCAATGAGTCTAAAACGTCATTTGTTTACATTTACATTAGGCCATTAAATGCATTTGTGTACATTAAGATTTAAGTACTAATCTGATTTGAATAGGACTAACCATTAAGATATTGAACATAGTATCATTAATAAGTATCTTTATGTTGATAACTTCCACCTCATTCCATCCACAATTACTAGTCACCACCACTAACCATCTTCGCTAATACGATACCAACACTATTATGTCATCAACAACTGTCATCGCTGTCAATCATGACTACCACCATTATAATTAATCGCCAACACACTCACTATCTCCATCATTATAATTATATCCACTGCTATCAGTCTATCACCACTATTATCACTATCACTATCACGACCACCTCCATCATTTCATCAGTTACTACCATTAGTGCGGTCAATCTCTACTATTAATCACATCTATCATCACAACTAGCATTGTTATCAACTATTATCACCACATATTCTTCAGCATCTCTATCAACATCGTCAACCACTAACATTAATCAACTTCATTATTACTATCACCACCAATTACCACCATCGCACCAACTATTGTTACACCAACCACCTATTTTTACAACTTTAACCATCATCATTATTAATCAATAACACAAATCATGACCACCACTAACACTACAACAAACCTTCTCCACCATCGCTAACAAATAAATGTTTCATTTTTTTTATTTAATAATAGTTTTTAATTTTTAATTATTAACTTTTACTTGAATTGTATATTAGTTGTGCTTATAAATATATAAATTATACATATTCAAATGTCGAAAAATAAATCATCTTAATCATTTATTATTTAAATAATGTATTACATTTAATCTTAATGAAAATTAATGAGGGCAAATGGAAACTCTTTCTTTCTTTCTCTCTTCATTCTTCTATTTTATATTTCAAAAATTTCCAATCAATTTTTTTTCTTTACTGAAAATCTTATACAGATAAGTATTAAGGTTGACATGAAAAGAGCAAGCCTCAGATAGTCTACCAGATATTACTCGATATAGCCTGGGAGACAGAGCCGGTGCCTCCGCCTTGCGTCTGCTGCCGCCTGCCGCTGTTCTTCCTCGTGTCAGGTAAGTGTTTTATTTTTAAAAAGAATCAATTGAAGATTAAGAAAAATATTAAATATGTTGAAATTTTCTTGAAAAGAACTCAACTTAATTGAATTGAGACTAGTTCGAAGCTTAATTTGTGCTTGTTGAAGAAGAAATTTCGATTATTTTCTCTGTATTTGAAGTTTTTGAACTACATGTTAAAGCTATTGAAATTTTCAGCTGGTTGAAGGCTTGAAACCATGAATTCGATTCCTGCTTGTCGTCTGTCGATGTCCTGTATTTATTAAAAGTTTTAGATCCATTTGTGATAAAGATATAGTCTTTTGAGTCCTTAGAAAAATTAGCTTTTTAGGTACATCATGTATGAAGCTTTTCTTTGTTTAGCTATTGCTGCTAGAGTTTTTTGGAGTTGTGATATGCATTTTGGTTCTTTCAAGCTTGATTGTCAAGTAGTTTTTACTATTTGCTGCATATTGGTAATTGCATAGTTTTGCACAGATGCTATGTTCTTGGCTGCTGCAGCTGAATGTTGCACAGCTACTTTATTTTTCTTGGCTGCTACAACTGAATTTTGCACAGCAGCTATGTTCTGCCTGGCTCCTACAACTGAATTTTGCACACCTGCTACAGCTTTATTTTCGAACAGCTGCTATGTTCTTTTTGGCTGCTGCAGCTGAAGAAAACAAAAGTGAAAACTAAAAGATGACAACTTCATCCTAAGTAGGAGGGACAAGATAAGAAGCATTCAATCAAAGTGTATATAGAAAGAGAAAAAAAAACCCTTGAGAGAATCAGAAGAACATAGCCAAATAAAAAGCCCAAGATGGTTGGCCCGAACCGAATTAGAAAAAACCAAAGTAATTTAGTTTTGGTTATTGGTGCACCAAATGAAAAATCGATTAAACCGAACCGAAATTTCTTAAACCGAGCCTGACCAACAATGTCCACCCCTATTTCCAAAAGAACTTGATAGTGGATCAAGATCTTAATGTTACTTGAAAAATGTTGAAGTTAAAAAAATATTTTCTTCTTTCTTAACGTTAGAAGTATTTAGACCTTAAATTAAACTACTCAAATCCTAATATTAGTAAATAAAATATTAAGACGTTGAATTAAACTACTCAAGTTCTTATATTAGTAAATAAAGTATCTTACAACAAAATCCAAGATAATGTATTGGAAATACACGACTAAGATACCCATGAAGATCTCAACACAGTTGGCATTGAGGAAGTAGAATGGCCTTGGAAGATGATATGGAAAACTAAGATACCCTATAACGTAAACTGTTTTACTTGGTTGTTAGATAAGGAGGCAGTTTTGACACATGAGAACTTGAACAAAAGAGGTTTTCACCTGTGTTCCAGGTGCTGTTTGTGTGAAGAGCAAGGAGAGACAGTTAATTATCTCTTTTTACACTGCAAGTGGACAAACCAGCTGTGGCAAATGTTCACCAATATGAGAGAGATCAAATGGGTGAAACCAGGAAGGATCAAAGAGGTTTTGAAGTGCCGGAATAGGGATGGAAATGCAGGAAGAAAGGAGGAGAGATGGAAGATTGTCCCATCATGTATATGGTGGACATTATGGATAGAGAGGAACCAGAGATGTTTTGAAGGAAAGCAGAGCAACATACAAAGATTTAAGCTTAATTGTTTAGCTCTGTATAATTTTTGGTGTAAACAAGTAGTCTTAGATAGCTCAGTAGTAATCAACACAACTATAAACTCGCTGTAACTTGGTAGTTATAGGATCCTATGTAATTACAACACTTTTGGAGTGGAACTACACTTTTGAGGTAGTATACCTGTGGATAAATATAGACTAATTGTTACTTTTCTCAAAAAAAAAAAATACACGACTAACAACTTACTAAGCTGTCAGCCTCCCAATATATATAATAACATAACTGTCAAATGTTTGTTGTAAACTTAAAGGCTTCATGTCTGGTAAAAATACTGCTCCCTTTTCCCATATTAGTTGTCAAAATTAATATAAATATTTGTCCCAAAGTACTTGCCATTTTTACAAAAAAGAGGTTAATTAGTTTTTTCACATTTTTGCCTTAAAATTAGTTGTTTCTGAAAGCAATCAAGTTTGATTATAGTGACATAACATAAAACTATAAATTTGAAGAGTTCAAACAAGTGATTATTGGTTGATGTTTTTTTTTTTTTGAAACTGGTAAGATTGTATTCTTCAGCATTAAGGGCATGCTAGCCACCACCAAAAAGTGCCAATTACAATCTTCCTAACAAATCTACAATCTGATCTGTATCTACTATACACAACTGTTTACACCAAAAAAGTAAAGATACTATACACAACTGCTTACACCAAAAAAGTAAAGATACTATACACAACTGATTATTGGTTGATGTTATTATTGTTTAAATACCTATAAAATTTGTTTAGCCATATTTATGAAGAGAGATAAGGGTAAATTTGTAAAATAATATTTCTTATTATATCTTCAGGGCTGTGCAAAACAGAAACTACTAATATGGAACGGAGGGAGTACACTCCATAGCCATAATTTCAGAGACCTCACTCCCCAAATAAACAGAAATGCTAAGGGCAACCATGTCAACAATTTCTCTTCCCTTTCAATATACACATTCTCTCAAGCACTTGTTCTCCCTTTACCCTTTCCAAAAGCCCCTTATCCAGGTTTTCTCTAAGCCAAGAAAGATTACAACTACTGCAAGACGACTGTTTTCGCTGAAACCCCTTGCAGTTTCATCCCCAATCAGGATCTATGGGGATGAAAAAATCAATCCCACATACTTATCTTGCTCGATGCCTCACAAGAATCCTCTCAAAGTGGCGGTTTTGGTTAGTGGTGGTGTTGATAGCAGCGTGGCTCTTCGGCTACTTCATGCTGCTGGACATTCCTGCACTGCTTTCTATCTCAAGATTTGGTTTCAAGTACGTAATTTTACTACTGCCCCAAATCAATTAGTCTTCGTGTTGCCATGCAGAGTTGAAGAATATGGGTTGTTTACTACTATTCCCTCTTTCTCTATCCCTATAGATAGATCAAATAAGTGGTGTAATATATTTTATTAGCGATAGTGTTAGATTTTTCCTAAGACAAGCTTTCGTAAACTAAATTGTACCTTGATTCTCAGATAAATTATGCCAATTAGTTATACGTAATTTAATACCAGAAATCAAATTATGTACTTAGTCAAATGTTGTAGAAGTCATGAAAGATTAAATTAATTATGAGAATTTAGTGTTGCTGACTCACACTATTTTAGCTATGAGAAATTTATACCGGCGTGGGTTTGCCTTATACCTTAAACAAAATGAGCCCTAAATCTTTTTAGTTTCAAGCAGTGTTAAACAATTATCAAGTGTATTGCCTTTTCTTTTTTAGGAAGACTTTGAGAACTATTGGTCTGAATGCCCATGGGAGGATGACTTGAAATATGCAAAGGCTGTTTGTGACCAGGTCACTCTCTTTTCCTTGGTTATTTTCTCTTTTCATGTATTGATCTGGTAGAGAATTTGATACATGTTAGACATAGTGTCATCTCTGTGGTGATAGCTCTGACTAATTTAGGTTAAATTTCTGCTTAATGCTAGTTACTTACTACATTATTTGTTGGTTTCTTTTTATTATTGATATTTTTTTTTTGGGTGGGGTGGGGGATAGATCCATCAAATTTGTAAGACTTGTTAGTTACATTAAGAGCATGTTTGGATTGGCTTAAAAGTTGGTCAAACCTACTTTTAAGTCATTTTTAGCTTTTGAGAGTGTGTGACAAATTTAAAAATAACTTAAAATAAGTTTAAAATGGCTTAAAATAAGTTAAAAGTCAAAAGTAGGACTCTCCCTACTTTTTATTTTTTAACTTAAAAGTCATTTAAGTTTGACCTTATAAAGTTACTCCCTTTGTCCCAATTTATGTGGCACTTTTCGTTTTTCGAGAGTCAGTTTAAGTTTGACCGGTAATTTGCGCGTGGAATCTTCAAATTTTTTGAAATGAAATTTATATTTTGTAAACTACATATACAATGCTATAAGTCACAAGAATTGACAATTCAAAACAATTAAAAGACATATGTCTGACCAAAAAATAAAAGAAAAAAGAAAGACATGAAAAATTTACAGTCAAAGATAGACTTGTTTGAATCTCGAAATCCGAAAAGTGCCACATAAATTGGGACGGAGGGAGTACTTTTTAAAAGCTACTTTTTTCAAATCAATCCACACGGGCTCTAAAGGCTAGTGGAGAATTAAATCTATTGTTAATGGATACGTTTATACAACTTCCTGGCCTGGCTGTGGAAAAAGGGAAAAAACTAGCCATACCAAATAGTTTATAGGATTCAATTGGAAGCATTTTCGGACATGACATGCTTTACCTTGCATTAGTTAGTTTGATATTTCCAATTAAGTTTCCACAACATTTGTTTTCTGACTTCTCAGGTTGATGTACCATTGGAAGTTGTCCATTTGACTGATGAATATTGGAATAATGTGGTAAGTTTCTGCTTACTTTTCAGCTGCTTTAATTACACATTTTCCAGCCTTTCGCCCTTGCCTCATGAATGGAACTTTATTTACCTTAGATTGGGGTTTTATACTAAGGTTTATATTTGTGATGCACTATAAAGATAAGCTGGGGGCTATTGATGAAAGCTCTGTCATAATATTAGTTTGTTTTGATTAGTAAGTTTTCCATGTTTAGGTGTCATATATCATTGAGGAGTACAAATGTGGCAGGACTCCAAATCCAGATGTCCTTTGTAATACTAGAATAAAATTTGGTCAGTCATCTTATATGAAAAGCAATCCACTAATCTTTATTTCGTTAGCCTGATAGTGAAAAATTTATTTTCAGGTGCTTTTATGGATGCCATTAGTGGAATGGAATTTGACTTTGTTGCTTCGGGACATTATGCAAAGATTGTCCATGCATCTACTGCGCAGCTGGATGAACCTTCTATCTTGGAATTGTCAAAAGATATGGTGTGTTTTTAATATTCATACATGTTTCTTAGAGCCTCTTACCCTATTTTCTTTTGTAAAGTTTGATATGTTCACTTGAGAAGGGGAGATCTTGAAGATGAGAGTGGTGGGAAAGAGTCTTGCTTCACTGTAGGTAAAATGATGAACATATGTGAAATTGAATAGACTTAGGCAGATATACATGGTTGGGAATTAAACATTATGGTCCCATCAAAAGTTCTTTTTGTAAGAGACAGACATTTAGCAGTTGAGGATACAAAGTTTGATCTAACACCTTCCTAACCCACCTAGCCCCTGTTGCTTTTAACCAAGATTTCTTCTTTGAACTTGTGATCGACATTTTTCAAGACTGTCTGTGTAATTCTTTCAGTTAAGTTTGGTATGTTTTTTGAGATATTTTACATTTGGTTCTTATCTTGAAAAATATAGTAAATGTGATGAAGCGTCTTAAGATTTATCTCATAATGAAATTTTATTGTAGATCTCCAAATTATGCTTAAAAACAGATAAATAAAACAACCAAAGCAAATATATTATTCTGTTGAAGGTTCATATGTAGTATCAATACTGCTCCAAGAATGAACGTTAACTAGGAGTTCATAATCTTTTGATACAGAAGAAGTGGTTTAATTTGCCACACTTTAATTCCTGATTTATTGAGAGTTTTATATCTTGCACTTTTTCCTATGCGTACCAGAAGCATTGCAAGGGTATATAAGTAATTGGAATATATTTTTTGGTTTGATATGTACACTTCCACAGAATTTCTCCTGTAAACAAAGAAAAAACTTTTTTGATTTGGTGAAAAAACAAACAAATGAAAAAATGGTTTGACTTGGGCAGGTTGGGCAATGATCAGTCGTTTTTCCCAAATTGGCCAAATGTCCAATCCATCTTGATTCAAGTGAATTTCGGACAGGATAGATCATGAGCCAATTATTGACTCAACTCTTTTTGACCGGCCTAAATTTAGCCAGACCTTCCTATTTGACACCCCTAAGTTTGTGAGTGTAGCATGCTGTGCAAGTGATGTCCACCACTTTCCATTGAAAACTTGGATTGGAAGACTCTTCAAATCTCCTGCCTATTTGTGGCATAATGCTCATATCTTATTCTATCTAACGGTAACATTAAACAACATATGAGTGACATCCTCTGAAATGCCACTTTAATATTCAATTTTTATGTATTTTGGAAGTTTTGTTCCTTGTCCCCGAGTTTTTTCATTCGGTTGGGTCAATTTGGCTGATTTCTTATGTCTGCAGTGGTGCTGTTTCAGGTCAAGGACCAAACCTACTTCCTTTCTCATCTCTCACAGGCTCAGCTTAAACGACTTATTTTCCCACTTGGATGTATCCAAAAGGTGAGGTGAGGCTGTTGTCTTTGCACTTATCTTCTTTACGATATATATATTTTTTATAGTCAAATATTAAATTGTAGAGAGTGAATCTGTCTTCACCCTCCTTCCTTCTGGGACGTGATCATTTGAAAAAGTTTAACTCTTCATTGAGGCTGAATTACTCTTGATCTTTCATCACATATATGCAGGATGAAGTTCGCATGCTTGCTAAGTCATTTAATCTACCAAACCAAGACAGGAAGGATTCACAAGGAATATGCTTTCTCGGCAAGGTCTGTTTTACCAGCACATTCCTAAGCTACATGAATTTTTTGTTTTTTTGGTATGAGGTGTTGTTTGGCAAACCTATGTCATTCTCATGGAGTAACTCAAATAATTTTTTTTTTTTTTTTTGATAACCGAGAAATCCGACTGTGACCCGCCCTTTGGACCAATCACAGCCTTCTAAACTCGGTGGATAATGGGCCCGCCCATCTACCCTTCTCCACTTAAATACCGGGCTTCGCTTTGCATGGTGTGGGGCTTGAACCTGCGACCTAAGCCACAAATCCTCCACCTTTTGCCACTTGAGCTAGGCCTTGGGGTCACAGTAACTCAAATAATTTATTTACTAAATCATTTAACTATTCCGCTAGTAAGTTGTAATCCGTTCATTAGCCCTCTTAACCTTGATTCATGGGTATCATTTGCTAAATAATAATGTATGAGATTTCCGGATTAGTTGTGGCAGACAGTAATTGTTCAAACTTGTCTATGAAAAGTGGGTGGGATTTAGTGATTTACAATGTTTTTGCTATATTAAAGACCATTTTATATCAATCTGCCAGTGCAATACGTTATAAAGGATGTAAAGGTTCATAGTTTCCATCCACCAGTACCAGTCATATAAGTAATTTCATAACCATGATCAGCTCTATATTCAAAACTTCATCTTCTGCATAGAAGGCCTACACAACAAAAGTTTTAGTCATAGACTCATCTTGTAGCTATTACTTTCTTAATTTTGTTAGATTTTGCACACTTCTCCAAAAGGATTAAGATTTGTTCTAATTTTTGGTAAAAGTTCAGTTTTCCCCGTAAGATCTTAGTGTCAGTTCCATTTGGAATTTCAGATAAAATTCAGTGAATTTGTTGCTAGACACATTGGAGAATCAGAAGGTATTATATTGGAAGCAGAGAATGGAGATTATCTTGGAAACCACCGTGGTTTTTGGTTCTATACTATTGGCCAGCGCCAAGGTTTACGTCTTCCTGGAGGGCCCTGGTATGCGGCTATGAGCTCTTTCTTAGTATATGTACTATCTGTGGTCTCAAGTGGTTAAGCAATTTGATTATCTTATATTCAACTGTTTTTATGGTGTTATTAACCGCCTACCGCTCATGGATACTTGATCTTCAACAAGATGATAGTTGCAATAATCCACAGTAAACAGATAGCAAAATGCTTGCTTTGTCATCGTATGGTCCTGGCCTTCATGACATTTAGGACTTCTTGAGCAATTAGTCACATCAATCCGAATGTGTCAATCTTTTTCGTATATCTTTAAATGAACTAATTAGATATCTTCCTTACTTTGTAGGTATGTTGTGGAGAAGGATATTAAAAATAATGTTGTCTATGTATCAAGAAATTATTTCTCTGTTGACAAGAAAAGACGGTTATTTCGCGTTGGATCCTTGAAATGGCTCAGTGGTTTATTTCCTAAACAAATCAATGAGCTTCAATGCAAGGTAAATCTTTCTTTTTCTCCCCATTTAACTTTTTATTTTGAACATAAGTTCAATGACACCTTTTACATATCTAAGAATGTCCAACATGAGCTTAGGTTGTAAAGAACAAACGTTAAGATGTACATGACATGGTACACAAGTGAAATACAGTTGACTTTCTTGTATTTTCGTTCTGTTACCTGATTATTTTATTTTGGGAGCACTCTGTCATATTGTAAGTTTTGCATTGTGAGCTTGGTAACACTGGAATTTCAGAGTGATAGGTGTTGGTGTACAAGCAAATGCTCATTTTCAATTGTTCTGTAGGTTCGTCATGGTCCCAGTTTTTACAACTGCAGCTTGGTCATGGAAGTTGATCAACATGGCCAGGAAGTTGCAGTTGTCCGGTTATCTGGAGATGATCAGGGTTTGGCAGCTGGACAGTTTGCGGCCTTTTACGATGGAAGGACTTGTATTGGTTCTGGCATAATACTAGAGTCATGGGATGATCAGGGATATCCTATATGTGAGAGGGCTCTTGAAATTGCTCGAATGGAAGATAAATCCAAGCTCGGGAAACCAGTCAAGATAATGGTAAAAACTGAGCTTAGTGTTACTACAATCTGATTATGACTACCAGGAAAATCCTTATACTACTAATTATAGAATCATTTTCAACATGAGTGCTTTCTGAACAATGGGATTTCGCCTGATTTGGTAACCGTTAAATTGACTGTGATAGCTTGAAGAACAGCAAAGTGACAAAGTGTTTTAGGCTCTATACTTGTGAACTCTTGAAATTTATCAAGATTTTTCAGGAGGGATAGTCTTTACCTTCTCAAGGTAGGGGGTAAGGTTTGCATACACTCCACTCCGCAATTTGTACGTTCAAGATGAGTTTTGAGATTATCAATATATCTAATTATTTTTTTCTTATTACATGTCCAAATACTACTTTGTTTTCTCAAAATATGAGCAATTTGTTTTCTCAAATAAAAGAATAAGCAAGAAAAATAAAAATAAAAAGATAACACTTATCTTTTTGTATATATATAAATTTTATTAAAATATTTGAAGGTCTTTTATATTAAAAAAGGTGACTTTAGGCTGCTAATTTTATTGAGCGGACGATGATCCAAGGACATTTTCTAGGATTAAAGAAAAGAACAAAACCTAAGAAAGAACCAAGTTTGTCACTTAGATTTATTTTCCTGTTTCTTTTTTACCACTTCATCAATGTACATTATACCTTTGCCTTTGTAAACTTCAGGAGGCTTACAACTCCTTACATTATACTTTTATTGAGTACGCGAATAATATAAAGCACCTCAATTTACCTTGATTTTTTTTGAAATAATAATAATAATAAATAATCTCTCCAAAAAATTTAATAAAATATATACTATGGGGCATCACGTTCGGGAAAAAAAGGAAAAAAATATATAAAGAGCAGCAAATCAGTCAGGTTTGGTCAACTTGTTCGTTTTGGTTTAGTCTAAATTACAGAGGCCAATTTGAAATTTTTTGATTCAAAATATTACACTTTAGGCTCTGGACTCATAGGAAATCACTGAGATTCATCCAAAAATTGAGAAAAAAATGTACATGAGACTAGCCAAAAATCACATTTACTGGAATATTACTTTCACTTTCCAAGCCAGAAACATTAGACACTGACAAGTAAAAAGACCAGCAATACAGGCAAGTGAAAAACACAGATAAATTTCATTGTTGGGAAGAAAAACATTTAATCTTCAGCTGCACATTCCTTACTAATGCACATAAATCAGAAGTGTGAATTTAAGGGGGATATTCAGTAGGAAACTCTTTTACAAACGCAATCTATCTTTTTCAATTAAAGGGTGACATAGCGCTACCCGATTCAGCTTTAACAGATTCCTAATCTCTTCTATCTTTGCATAATCGACAGTCCAAGAAAGGCAAATGTAGATGATGAGTTGTAAACTATTTCCTTCTTTTTGATGTGCTCCGTCGTTCAGCTTCTTGCTCAGCAACTCGAACATGGAATTCTGCTTCAAGCATCTCATGTACACCAAGGTTCAAAGATAAGCTCAGGGTAACTGTCTCCATTACGGAGTCCAAATTAACCATGAAGCCTAAAGCTGAGAATACCGTGATGGCATTTGCTATCCTGCATATGTATTGTCTTCTTTCCAGTGGTGTATCAGTTGGTTCTTCACTAGAACCTGGTAAGCTTGATGAATGGGTGTTCTGTGGATCAGACTTATTTACTTGATCCTCCACCATGGCATCTTTTACATCAACGTGTTCCCCAACCCAAATTAATCCATTGCAGCCAAAAATCAAGTCAACTCCATACTGATCTAGATGGTGGAAATGCTGTTTACGCCTTTTCACTAGATATGGAGGGATTTTGAGTAGTTTCCCTCTTTCAAGCTATTAAAAAGGAAAAATAGAATTGTTCAGAAGAACCCAACCACTAGAAACACCAAATCATCCGAGCATATATTCTCAAACAAATTGATAAATAATGTCTGAAATCTGAAATATATTCAAGGGCATAAACAAAAAATGCAAGGCTTTGGTGAAAAATGAACATTTCATTCCACCATCACCCCATGAAAAAGAGACGTAACATGATGAGAAGCAACTGAAAAGTATAACTCTATGTGATGGTGATGTCAGCATATAAAAGGCCTTCTTGCCAGCATTTAAAGCAAAATAATAATCTAATGCAGATCATATCAAGGTCCTCTGTATTCTCTATTCAAACTTTATGGTTAGATTCATCTGCTTTGGTAAAAGTTCTGCCGTTTGTACCATGGGGTTTTAACTAATATTGTCCTTTATATTCACAGATAGATCCAATCCTTTAAAATATAGACACAGTTAAAATATATCATCTCTCAAGTTTGATAACATTAAGCAGATTTGGTCAAATTAACAGGAAACAAAATATATGCGGTCTAGTGTGGGGTTTGGGCAAGAGCTCAAATTAATATTTGAAGATACTAATTATTTTGTAATCAATTATCATATTGTTAGGGTACTTATTATATTTCTTAAATGTTGCGAATTAATGGTTAAGATATCGGGATTTGGTTCGCCTAGACAGTGGTATTGAGTGTAATTTGGGACATAACAAAGAACTTGTTAGACCATGGAAAATTAACATTAACTTCAGAAATTTTCATCAGACACATCATGTTCCTGCTTCCTACAAGCAAGCAACTCCATCCCAGCTTTTATGGAAGATTATTTTACGCTTTTTTAAATGGAAAAAGTTTAATCCATGGTTTTAATTAACCATAAATCCATCTACCTAAAGTCTCTTGTGAATGCTAGAAACGTGTATCCCCCACCTTGTGGAGATTGAATGTTGAATCCCAGTCCTACTCTCACGCCAAGCTTTTATGGTCAAACAGGTAGGGGGGGGGGGGGGGGGGGGGAAGGTTAGAGAAATGAGGTGTCTATTTCCAACCTGATAATCAAAACAACTCTGAAACAAAATTTTATGTTCTAATTTCAATTATGAAAACACACCTTTCCATACTTTTGGCTTCTAGCTTGGAGGTGTAGACTCCCATCATGTTGGAAACCACGGACTTCAGCCTGAAGATGGACAATTTCGCTTGGATTACCATACTTGCAGAAAATAAAATAAAATAAAATAAAAGGAGCAAGGACAGACGAGACATAATTGCATTCATCATAATCCACTGATGCATGCCACACCTAAAATGGTCCCTTCAAGAATTTGATAAATAGTCAAAGGAACTGGGGAGCTTACACAGATGACATCATTCTCCACAAATATGCTTCGCATATTGAGTTCATCAACTGCTGTTCGCCGCCTCTGGAATTATAGAATAAGAGGAAGTAGTTAATTTTAGTATGACTATGACTATGACCATGACTATTAGTAAGATCTAAAAGAATGCAACATAATGACAGAAATCCAGGGAAACAAAAAGGAAAAGGAAGTGTATATTTGCTTCAGGGGACAAACTTCGAAAGTTGCATCAGCTCTACAGCTCGAGCCACAAGTAAAGATCCAACTTCTATAGACATGTCACCCTTCTAACTCTTTAGTTTCAATACCTTGGGAACTTCAAATCTCTTTAACACAAGCTTCAGGCTGTGGGCTTATTTATTGAACAATAATAAAAGTTATACTAGCCTGATAAATTCACTGTACTGTTATTATAAATTTAGAGAATGGAATTGGGGAGAAACTTGTTGCCCATGAAGATCTAATTATTTGAATGTTGAGACGTGGCAGTGTTCTTTAAAATATGAGATTCTGCATAGAGTTAAAACCTGGACAAAGTTTATTCTATTCTGGAAGGCAGAAGTGAATCCTTTACAACCACAGGTCCACAGCAAATGTGCCTCAATCCCAAACAAGTTGGGGTAGGCCATATGAATCCATGCTATCTTGGACTTATAGATCCATTGGGCTATTCTATTCATGTTACCAAAGGAAGTTAAAGAGATGACTTCTTCAAAGTGGACCAAAGTTGGTTCCCTGCTGCTAAAGTGAAATAGACTAGGGTCTTTAAGCCTCACAGGGGGAGGGGGTTGAAACCGAAGAATTTGGAAAAATGATATAAAACAGCCATAGGAAAATCTTTTCAGCTCTTTTTTCTCTAGGATTTCAATATGCAGGGTCAAGTGGGTACATAGGGTGGAATAGAATAAAGGAGGTCCTGATTTCAGTGCTCAACAGATTCCTTATAAATGTTTCTTTACATGCAGAAAAGATGCAATAAGGACTCCAAATTACACAATCTTGACTAGTGAATTATCCAGCAAATATAACCATCACATCATGGGACCAAAATCAATTCAGAGATCATGCTCAAATGGGCTTAGTGATATTGTAAGCAATAACCTGAATACCGTCTGGAAGATTCATTGAGGAGAGCATTAGTACAGCGTCTTGGCTGAAATTAATTTCCAACCTCCATCTCTTTGGAGCAACCTTAACATCAAGAATATTAATAATCATTAGATAATATCTAACCGCAAGAAATCATTAATATTTCTTGCCAAAGTAAATGAAAACAAGTAAAAATGAGGACACATGTGTTCTTTTCCTTTATGTTCTCTTAAGTGCCCTTTCATTGAAATTCAGCACCAAAGGCAGTGGCGGAGCCACCCTATCTTTAGGGGGGTCGTCCGACCCCCCTTCGGCGGAAAATTATATTATTTTTACATGGTTAAAATAATTTTTTATGTATATAGTAGATGTCGAACCCCCTTAGGCTACTTCGTGTGTCTATTTCTTCAAATTTTGAACCCCCTAATTAAAAATTCTGGCTCCGCCACTGACCAAAGGCATGCACTATTTAGATTATCCATATATTAAATTATTAATGTGAAGGCTTATATATTTCTCTAACACACGGTAGACTGAAAAAACCCACCACTATTATGATCATACTAGGGAAACCTGAAGAGCAACAGAAATAATTTAACTGTCTATCCTATCCCTTACAAATACCTGGGGATACATTAGGAGAGACTTGCATTTTGCTAAGTGAACTGTGAACAAAGTACTCCCGGGGTTCGGCAGGGTAAGGAAAGAATAGTATATTGAAAAGAAGTTGTTCCAAGCCTTGAACTCATGACCTACCAGTCACCAAAAAGAGCAACTTTACCATTGCAACAGGTCTCGACTCTCTTCTTAATTGAGGTTTCTAACTACTACAGTACTACCCAAAAATACCGATTCAATCAACTAGAAACAAATTGTCATAAGACTAGCAGCAAACTTCTAATTAAAAGCACTTAAACATAAAAGGAGCATAGATTAC